TTGGATAAACAACCTTCCATTGCACAGGGAGGTCTGAAAGAAGGAGAACCCCTGGTTTGGCTCAAAGACCAGAACTTCCATTCAATATGCAGCCTGTTGCTGCTAAACTTGTCATTTGAGTGCCAGCTTCACAATTTCTGCCATGTCTACATAGTCCGCACACTCTGCTTTATTACTTTCTTATAGAGACAGGGTCTCTATCTGTTGTTCAGGCCGGGGTACAGTGGCATGATCATAGTTCAGGATAACTTGAAAATCCTGGCCTCAAGTGATCATCCCACCTCAGCCTCTCAAAGCACTAAAATTACAGGAGTGAGATACCATGTGTGGTCTTATATTTTTTAACTTAAATTTTAATGTCATCCTAAATAATAACAACCACCATGTTATAGGTTCAATGTGCTCGTTACAGTTTTTCAAATGGATATTACAGAAAATGCATACCCAGTAGATAGCTTTTTTTTTTTTTTTGAGACAGAGTCTCACTCTGTCACCAGGCACCAGGCTGGAGTGCAGTGGCAGGATTTCGGCTCACTGCAACCTCTGCCTCCAGGGTTCAAGCAATTCTCCTGCCTCAGCCTCCTGAGTAGCTGGAACAACAGGTGTGTGCCACCATGCCCAGCTAATTTTTTGTATTTTTTAGTAGAGACAGGGTTACACCATGTTGGCCTGGATAGTCTCAATCTCTTGACCTCGTGATCTGCCCACCTTGGCTTCCCAAAGTGCTGGGATTACAGGCATGAGCCACCGTACGCGGCCAACTCTTTTTTTTTTTTTATTTTTTAAGACAATCTTGCTCTGTCACCAGGCTGGAGTGCAGTGGTGCAATCTCGGCTCACTGCAATCTCCACCTTCTGGGTTAGAAGCAATTCTTCCTGCCAAAGCCTCCCAAGTAGCTGGGACTAAAGGTTTGTGTCATTATGCCCAGCTAAGTTTTGTATTTGTAGTAGAGACCGGCTTTCACCATGTTGGCCAGGATGGTCTCAATCTCTTCACCTCATGATCTGCCCGCCTGGGCCTCTCAATGCTGGGATTACAGGCTTGAGGCACTGCGCCCAGCCAGGTAACTGTTTATCTGTGTACTGCACACATTATGTCACCTTCCTCTGCAGTGTGCTTGCCACCCTCTGGGACACACTGCTCTAGTATTTTGATTTTCTTCTCCTCACCCTTTCTAAGTGGGAAGTCTCTTCTGATCAGGTCACTGGTGTCCAGGCTGGGTGTCTGTGTTCTGGTAGATTCCACCATGACGCCTTCAGAGCCACACTCAGGGTGAAAAGACTTCCAGGCAAGGCAATGAGCATTTTCTTTCCTAAAGTGCAAGAGCAGTTCAACTGTTGCTCCTTACCATATCCAGGGTCTCTAGTTAAGATTTTATTGGGAAAAAAAGGCCATACTGATTATTTTTAAAGCATGAAAACCATAGGCCAAGCCCATCCAGGATGAACACTTTGGGAACGGTCATCTGTTTGGATAATCATACATTCACACATTCATTCAGTGCTTATTGGAGCCTCCCTTGGCTCTTCCTAGCTTAGGGGTCAGGAGAGCTGGCTTTAAGCATAGTGTGTTCATTGTAATGAAACAAAAATGTGCAGCTTGGGATGACGCCATGCCAAGCACCGTTCCTGTTTCCTTCCACTTGATCCAGCTTGAAGGTAAACTTTCGGTTCAAGTCCAGAAGCTGCCTTCCAATATCAAGCACTCCAGAATGACCCAAGCCCTTCATAAGGTAGGGAGTGCTGGTCAGCTTCTTTTCCCTAGGAGACAATGAGGAGAGGAGGATAGCAAGGGTGGCTTTGAACAGGCAGGTCTGGCCAGTTTATCACAACACGTATCATAACATGATGACAGCACTCTATCCACATCACCATGCCCCGTCTCCACATGATTTTTAAAAATGTTTTTATTTTAATTGTTGTGGATACATAGTAGGTGCACATATTTATGGGGTACATGAGATGTTTTGATATAGACATGCAATGTGTAATAATTACATCATGGAGAATAGGGTCTCCACCCCCTCAAGAATTTATCCTTTGTGTTACCTACAATAAAATACAATTAAATTACTATTGATTATAGTCACCCTGTTGTGCTATCAAACATGAGGTCTTATTCAGTCTGCGTTTTTATACCCATTAACCATCCCCACCTTTTCCCCCCACTACTGCCCTTCCCAGCCTCTGATAATCATCCTTTTAATCCCTATCTCCATTAATCCAATTGTTTTGAATTTTTAGATACCACAAATAAGTGAGAATGTGTGATGTTTCTCTTTCTGTGCCTAGCTTATTTCACTTAACATAATGATCCTTAGTTCTAACCATGTTGTTGCAAATGACAGGATCTCATTCATTTTTATGACTGAACAGGTATTCCATTGTGTTTAAATATCACATTTCTTCACTCATCTGTTCATGGACACTTAGGTTGCTTCTAAATTGTAGCTATTGTGACCTCTCTCCTGATTAGTCAATCAATCAGTGCCTGAGGGCAGGGATCCAAGAGAGTCGGTCAAATCAATAATGTAGTCATATAGGAAACGGAAGCTTAAGTTGCACTGAGGAAGATTTGTATGATATAACAGGAAGGACTTCCCTGTGTTTGGGTGGGAAGATATTGCAGTAATAATGATAATGGCCACCACTTACAGAATACTCCACAGAGATGGACTCATTTACCTCACAAAAGCCTTATGAGGTGCCCCATTTTTGTTCCTATGGTAGTGATGAAATAATTGAGGTTTAGAGAAAGAGTCAATGTGACCTGATGAAAGCCTACAGCTAGTAAGGAGTACAGCAGGGACTCAAACCCAGAGCCCAGGTAGTTGTTGACTCTGCTGCTCTGGAATCTGCTTTTCTCGCCAAGAACTTTAAGAATAGCATTATGTCCAGATTTGGGTTAGGCTCATTCTTTTTTTTTTTTTTTTTTTTGAGATGGAGTTTTGCTCTTGTTACCCAGGCTGGAGTGCAAATGGCGCAATCTCAGCTCACCGCAACCTCTGCCTCCTGGGTTAAGGCAATTCTCCTGCCTCAGCCTCCTGAGTAGCTGGGATTACAGGCACATGCCACCGTGCCCAGCTAATTTTTGTAATTTTAGTAGAGACGGGGTTTCACCATGTTGACCAGGATGGTCTCGATCTGCCGACCTCGTGATCCACCCGCCTCAGCCTCCCAAAGTGCTGGGATTAAAGGCTTGAGCCACTGCACCTGGCCTAGGCTCATTCTTGATGGGGGTTGGGGGGGGCTAGAAGAAACGACCCCTGTGGACATTTTCTTGCCAAAGGCTTTTGTAATGTATGCAATTTCTCCTTCTTAGAACACCAGGGTTACTTCACTCCCCATTGTGGACACTAAGGGGAAGAAGAATATAATAAGCTTCCCACACATTAGCAGCCAAGTCCTGCTGAAGTCATCCCTGCTGTATCAGGTGAGTGCGGGAGGATGGGACCCTGAGCAGGTACGTGAAAGACCTGGTTTTAGTCCAAAATCAGTTCTATAAAGGCCCAGGATGGTGGGGACATCCAGCTCTTCAACACAGTATCCGCTGAAGGGTTGGATACCAGCACAGTATCCACTGAAGAGTTGGATTCTAGGGGAGAAGCTTAGAGGTGAGAAGGTTAGAGGTGCATCAGAGGCTCCTGGCTGATGCACCTGCGCCTTCACATGCCCCCGGGCACACACGCAGACATTTGCCTTCTTACGGCTGCCAGCTTTAAATTGTGCCCTCCAACTGTCACTGTGCAAGGTGGTCCTTTGCTGCATCGAGAGGAACTCACATAGCAAGCAGAGCCCCCAGGAATGCAAGTGCCCCGTTCATCTACACTCTGAGAAAGGGCAGGTCTTGCTGCTCACTCCACTTGGGGTGTGGCTGCAGCATAATCTCTCACCCTTTGTGAGTAATAATATACCTTGGACAAACACAGTGGCTTCAGGTTGAGCAAAGGATCTCTTTTCCATGCCTTAAGTTATGGTTTCTCTAATTAAGTACCCAATTTATAAGAAAGATTAGCTTACCTCTTGCATCAGCATGACCTGGATGTGGGACATGGAGTCAAAGGAGATTACTCCACGGCTTTAAGATTTAATGAGTGCCCTGCTGGGTTTAAGACTTGCACAGGGGAGTGCAGTGGTGCATGGGGCCTGTAGACCCTGTACTTTGGCCAATTTCTCCCATTTGGAATGGGAACATTTACCCAATGTCTATATTCTCATGGTATCTTGGAAGTAACTAACTTGCTTTTAATTTTACAACTTCACAAACAGAAGGGATTTGCCTTGTCTCAGATGAGACTTTGTATTTGGACTTTTGGGTTAATGTGGAATGAGTTAAGACGTTGGGGGACTTTTGAGTTAATGGTGGAGTGAGTTAATGGTGGAGTGACTTTGGGGAACTGTTGAGAAGGCGTGATTGGTTTTGAAATGTGAAAATGAGGTGAGATTTGGGAAGGGCAGGGTGGAATGACTTGTGATTGGTTCTGTGTCCCCACCCAAATCTCATCTCAAATTATAATCCCCATAATCCCTACATGTTCAAAGAAGGACCTGGTAGGAGGGGATTGGAACATGGAGACAGTTCCCCCTATGCTGTTCTTGTGTAAGTGAGTTCTCACAAGATCTGAGGTTTTATAAATAAGGGGCTCTTCCCCACTTTGCTTGCTCTCCCCTGCTGCCATGTAAGACATGACTGCTTCCCCTTCTGCTATGATTGTGAATTTCCTGAGGCCTCCCTAGACATGCCGAACTGAATCAATTAAACCTTTTTCCTTTATAAATGACCCAATCTCCAGTATTTCTTTTTTTTTTTTTTTTAATTTTGGGCCAGGGTCTTCCTGGGCTGGAGTGCAGGGATGCAATCACACCTCACTGCAACCTCAAACTGCTGGGCTCAAGCAATTCTCCAACCTCAGCCACCCAAAGTATTGGGATGACACATGTAAGGCATTACACGCAGCCTCACATTTAAAGGGGTTTCAATAATGAGTTCAGGGCCAACTGCAGAGGCTCATACCTGTAATCCCCACAATTTAGGCGACTGAGGCAGGAGGATCCCTTGAGCCCAGGAGTCCAAGATCAGCCTGGACAACACGGCAAAACCCTATCTCTACAAAAAATACAGAAAAGTAGCCAGGCATAATGATGCACTCCTGTAGTCCCAGCACTTGAGAGGCTGAGGTGGGAATAATTTGAGCCCAGGAGGTGCAGTTAGCAGTGAGCTGAGATTGCACCACTGCACTCCAGCCTGTGAGATATCAAGATTCCATCAAAAACAAAATAAAAATAAAAACAAACCCAAACCACAATGAGTTCATTTCTCCTGATATAAAGCAAGTTTTGAGTGCAAAAATTTATTTTGATTTTTAGAAAGTTAAGTAGTTTAAGAATGTGTATTCTTAAAAAGAGCACTGCACATGCAGAGGCCTGGGCCTTATCATCACCCTGACAAGCTAAACTGCCTCATCAACACCGTCCCTGCAAAGTTTCTGTAGAAGTTGATTCATCAATTAAAGGTCAGATCTGTGCATACACAGCTTGAAGAAACTGCCAGCAGTTCATTGCTAATTACCAGGACAAACATTTGTATTTCAAAGTTGACCAACAGGATGACAATTCTCAAAGCTCTAAAAATATTTTGTCCTACTAAATGCTAGCCTAGCTTATGACTGTTACCCATCCATGGTTACTAACAGTCAAAGGTAACACTGCTTAGAGCAACAAATGCCACAGGCACTGGTCTCAATAAATGCCTCTTTGTCTGTCACTATAAAAGCTGGTCTGGTCCCAACTCAGTATCAAGGATATTATTCCAGACAGCCCAGGACTATCAATTCAGAAGTTTCCTGAGCACATAAGTGCTTCGGATATGCTTGCAAGGGCTCCTGAATTGGAGTTTTCTGCATCATCTCTATAAAAACACTGTTTCACCTCTAAAGTCACTGAAGAATTGAAGCAGACCCTTGGGAAGTTTCCTAAAGGAGTGGGAGTGGCTCCAAAAGTAACCTGCCTTTTAGCACCAGGCCACTAACCCAGAGAATTCACTTCATGGTGGGAGAGTCACTCAAAGCCTGCTATGAACCTAACCCCCCAAAAGGTGATGGAAAAGGCTAGAGGAAACCCCTAAACAATTGACCATGCCTTGTATCTTTCTCTAGAAACCCAATCAACTAACGGAATAGCCTATTTGAAATTTTAAAATGTAGATGCTACTCATGAGGGCTGTCATCGACGTAGGAAAGTTATTAACTCCAGTGGATGCTACGTTTCTTTCCCTGTATTAAAAAAGTTCCTCACATTTAATAATTTTGGTTAATTTAGATCAGTTTTGATTGAACAGACAGCATGAATCAAACTTAGTTCAAACCTTAATGATATTGTAATATTTACTAACAGCCAGTTCTCAATATAAAAGGTTTATGAATATTCTAATATTTCTACTTTAAAAACTTGCTTAACAAAAAAATCAAAGAAATGCTCTTTTGAAGAACAAAGTTTCAGGGCATGGAGGAAAGAGAAAGTGACCATTACAAATTCTTCATAGAACCACCAGGAATCTTGAATCCATTTAAATACAAATATAGAAGATCAGATTCTGATCTGACATTGTTTCTGCATTTTTAGAAACACTTTTCACTCACAAATCCAAGGTTGCAATGCCATTAAAAATATCTACAGGAAAGCACTGGTGTGAAATACAATATTATAATAGTTATTGCATTAAAGTAGTTACTTTTCTGTATTCTTCACATGTCCCACTATATGGCTATATAATTTTTATAATAAAAAATCATAAGTTATGGAAGCATTCAAGGTTACAAAGCACTGTTGACTTTATAAAAGAATTTTTAAAACAAATGTGCAGAAAGAAGCCATTCGACTATGATAGAGAAGCCGCCAGGTGGAAAGGCTCATGAGGTCCCAGGAGGAGCTCCAGGGGGAAGCTCATTGTTGGCCTTTCCAGCAGTGCTGTCCCTGGACACCAGAAGCAGTGGGAGCCCCTTGCCTGTGGCACCACGGACTCCCACCAAGGCACGTATGATGGACACTGTACTTCTATACATTTATTAGCGTTGGGTATATGGGGACTCTCAGGGCACTTCTGAAATGCATACTTGATTCCTTTTTACATCGAGGAAAGTAAGATTCACACACAAATACCAAGATGACCAATGAATGGTGGCCTCACTGGCAAAAGCAGCCATTGTAGGTAACCACATTGCCTCCCTAGCTTTCTGTAACCCATGGGATTGGGGAAAGGTTAAGTAACATTTCTTTTTCAAATTCATTTCAAACACTCAACTATGTTCATTCAAAAAACAGCAACTATATGCACAAGACTAAACAGAAATCATTCACACTGACAGCTCACGAAGGGGGCTCTCTGTACCCTTTCAGGAGGGTTTGGGGCAATAAAGCCAAAATCTGTATTTAAAACAGGTGTGTCTCATAAGATAAATTTTTAACTTACTCATTAAAGGTCCTAGTGGACATTCCAAACTAGTAACTTATACATAGGGAGAGAAAACATAAATGCTTACTGTATAGTTATACAAAAATAGAAATCTATCAATAGAGTCCAATCCTCAAGAAAGCACACAATTTGTGCCCAAAGGCTGTATATATATCAAGGAAGGGTGACTTCCTTCCTTGATCTCTAAACAACATCCTATCCATGTTGGGGGTATCGAGAGGTTGGGCATTTACCTAATGCCACAGGGTCCACTGGCGGGGGTCACAGCTGCTGGTTGGTGAATAAGGATTTAGTCTCCCTGCAGACAGGATTGACACAGAGCGGACAGCTCAGTGTCAGCTGCTTGGAGCACAGCTCTTTTAACTGGATGTGTGAATGCACCAAGTCAGCCAGGGCCTGGAAGACAGACAAGAGGCGAGGAGGCATCAGAAGCACAGGGTCTGCTTATCTGCCCTGCCCCCTCCTCCATCTGCCCAGGCCAGAGCTCTGGCTTGAGGTTTCTTTTCATCTGAGCGGTGAGCATTTTGGATCAAATTCTACAATATCTTCCTTTCCTGAGAATCCTCAGCTTAGAGAAGTTAAAACAGAGATTTCAGGAAATGAAATCCTCTTACCCCACCCTCTAGACCTTTTCTCTGGAAAGTAGGTTCGAAATTAGACATAGTTATAGGTGGGTAGAAATCAGAAATTTGGGGGTATCTGAAGGAAGACTGAACAGATAAGGATAAAATTTGATTTTATTTTTCTAATTAATTGGAACTCCAAATGTTCTAATATGTGAGAAAAACCAATATTCTGCAAGAGTTTCTCAGGGGATTACTCTCTGGTATGTTCTACTAAAATGGTTGGAACACTGTAGATACCTTAGAGAACAATGGATTTCCATTACGAGACTCTGCTTTTCCAATGTTTTCAACTTCACACGGAATCAAATGAGAAAAGGGAGGAAAAACACGACATGTTTTATTTTCCTCTTTTTTTTTCAAAGAAACTGCTAAAAAAAAATTCACATAGACACACACACACAATTCAAACTCTGACTTCAAGTGTTTGCAGATTTGCTCAAGAGTGAAAAGCATCATGGGGCAGGGCTGTGCGTTGATGCTGTTATCATAAATTATTCCTCAACTCCTTCCCCTCCCTGTCATCTTCCCACAGGTGATTTGTTTTTGAATCCTCTTTGTGGCTACACTTGATGAAATTCTCAGTTGAAATCTGCTTACCATTCTTTTTTTATTCTATTTTATAATGCATAATTTTACAGACTCTCCCTAAGTACAATGTTGCTTTAAATATAGACCTTTTCATACTTGTTTTGATCCCAAGTGTGAAAATGAAGTAAATTAACTTATTGACTATAAAATGGATATTGGACCCAATTCAGAGTTGGGTTTTAAAATATATTCCTTTTGTTTGTTTGTTTGTTTTTTGAAATGGAGTCTTGTTCTGTTGCCCAGGCTGGAGTGCAGTGGTACTATCTCTGCTCACTGCAACCTCCACCTCCTGGGTTCAAGGGATTGTCCTGCCTCAGCTTCCTGAGTAGCTGAGATTACAGGCACCCACCACCATGCCCAGCTAATTTTTGTATTTTTGGTAGAGGCAGGGTTTCACCATGTTGGCCAGGCTGGTCTTGAACTCCTGACCTCAAATGACCCACCCACCTCAGCCTCCCAAAGTGCTGGGATTACAGATGTGAGCTACCAAGTCTGGCCTAAAATATACTCTTATTGAGAAAAAGCTAGAGGAAAACATGGGAGGATTGTTTCAGTACCATCCCTATTTCCAGTTCCAAAAATATTCACTGCGTAATAGCTGAAATTGGTCTAATAATGATTTACTCAGATAGGATTCTTTTGTTTCCCTTTTCTTCTGGTAGCTTTTCAGTACTTGGTCATTTGTTTGTTTATTTATTTATTTATTTATTGAGAAGGAGTCTCGATCTGTTGCTCAGGCTGGAGTGCAATGCCACAATCTCAGCTCAAACTAAACAAAACGATGTCAGCCACAGTGACCCCTGGGTCACCTGGGTCAATGAACACACAGGTTTCCTCTCCCACTGATGACATGGAATTGACTCAATGTGTTGAGATTATTACTCAGATGATGTATTGATCAGAAGATTGAGGACACCATACATGCAAACAAATATAGTAAACAATATTTCTGAATGATACAGTTGATTTTTTTCCTTCAATGTAAGCTTCCCTTAAAATAAAATATGGGAAGAAACCCAGCCAAAGCTATAAGGTGCAGGACACTTTTGTGGATTATGTTTTTTAAAAGTTCTGTGTAACTGAGTTTTATGAATCACATGATGACCTTTATCTGGAGGAAAATATCACCTTTGAAATACAAGACCTGTCTTAATAGTGGAAAGAATGGAAGCTTTATTCACTTGTCTCAAAACTCAAAACAGGTTTGTTGGTTGTTGTTTAGGCTGTTAGAGAAACAGCAGTGAGAGAAGCGTTTCCAGAAGCCATTATCATAAAGCCATAGGACATCTTTGGAAGAGAGGAAACATTGCTTAATCATTTTTCAAGTATGTATTCTTCCTTAATGAAAAAATATATCCTTGGTCTGTCAATCAGAGAAAACTGTTAGCTTGTGCAACTTCAACATGGTTAGTCAGTATCCCTCTCTTCTCTCAGAAAGAGGGGCATGTAGGCTAAAACCTTAAAGATGACTGAATGTAGTCTGATGCAGGGAGTTGGGGAAGAGTATTGCATGCAGAGGGAACAGTAGGTACAGGGGCCCAGAGGTGAAAGGGCATGTTGGATTCCATGTTCAGTTGAACCAAGTTTTCTCAGTAGTGGCAGTATTGACATTTTCAGCCAGATAATTCTTCGTTATGGGGGCTGTTGAAGAATGTTTGGCAGCATTCCTGGCCTCTAGCCACTAGATGTCATTCATAGCACCCTCCAGTTAGGACAACTGAAAATGTCTCCAGAGGGGTTGTCAATGTCCCCTGGGGGCCAAAATCACTATTACTACTATTGTTTTTGAAAACCGAAATGGCAGAATATTAGCAATTCCATGTGATACAGCTTAATAATTTGTGACGGTTAATAAGAGAGTTGGGAGGAGTGGTAAGAGACGAGTTTAGCAAGCTGTGGGCAAAGACAAGTCAGAAAAGCCTCAAGCTATCTGAAGGGAAGTACTTTCCTACTGTGGAAAATACGTGGATAGCAGGTATTATTTGAGCTCTTGAGAAGGCTCATTCTTCAAGAAGCTTTCTGCGAATAGATAATGCCATTATTTTAACTTTGTCACATTTTCTTTGTTAAGATCAGTGTGGCCTTCTTCCTTTCTTCCTCCTTCCTTCCTTTTTCCCTTCTTTCCTTTCTTCCTGTCTCTCTGTCTCTCATTCTATCTCCTTTTCTTTATTTTTTTTGAGATGGAGTTTCGCTCTTGTTACCCAGGCTGGAGTCCAATGGCCCGATCTCAGCTCGCCGCAACCAATGCCTCCTGGGTTCAGGCGATTCTCCTGCCTCAGCCTCCCAAGTAGCTGGGACTACAGGCGTGCACCACCATGCCCAGCTAATTTTTTGTATTTTTGGTAAGACGGGGTTTCACCATGTTGACCAGGATGGTCTCGATCTCTTGACCTCATGATCCACCCACCTCGGCCTCCCAAAGTGCTGGGATTACAGGGGTGAGCCACCGCGCCCGGCCCTCTCCTTTTCAAGTATTACTTCAACATACATTATAATTTTTTATAGGTCTCAGATGTATCCAAAGGAATTATTAATGCAGTTAAGGACCCTGATGCCAGAGGGAAGACCTTTACTTCTGTTGGGTAAGTGCTTAGTTTTTTAATTTAAAATTGTGCTATTATAATGAAAGAATCAATATCTAAATTAGTTACTAACAGATTTATTTGTTGCACTTTTATAATATCAGAATATTGCTTGCATTAAGTCAGAATTTGAGGGAACCTGAAATCCACTTTAATGAATAATTCTTCTGTTATCAAAGTCTGAGAACCACTGCCTAAGACTATTATATTTACTTAGTTCAGTGACCCTTAGGGATGGTTTTGTATGACTCCAGTGATGTTTTTAATATATAAAAGAATATTGCTGTAAATTCTAAAACACAAACAGAACACCTTTAGGGAGTGAGTATGGTTACAAAACCACATTAATTTTGATGGATACCCCCAGAAGCTGAAAATGGGTGCTTTATAGCACAATTACTAGTGCTGTGCAAGATTGATTATTTCTTTTATGCTCCTTGCTAAAATTTGCTCTCAGAAAAAAATGGGTACAGTTAGAGTATGTGATTTATCTGAAATTAGTAAATCATGTCACAGCTAGGCTTAAGGCTTTTTTTACTGAATTATCTAAAAGTCAAACTAAGACTTCATCTGCCAAGTTGAGAGGTATCAGTTCACCTAGTAAGTGGTTCAGAATCTTGTCATTCTGCGAAGCAACCTAATGACACTTGGCATTCTACGACAGGTAAGGATAAGGCTCAAGATTTAAGGAATAGCGTAATTCCTAAGAAATATTTGCCTCTAGAGGGAAATGATACTCTTCTCTTTAAGCAAAGAGGCATGGTATATATTCTCAGAATTATGAATCTATGCATTGTTATGTTCCACTATTATTCTTTAGTAAACCATTTGTTTTCAGTGCAAAAAGCTCTTAGTTTTCCATGTCAACTAGGAGCTGCAAAATGTATGTCTTCCTTTCAGTTCCCAGTTTGGTATATTAGCATGCAATCAGTTATATACTCTAGGTAAGAATCACAAAAAAAAAATGTATTCAATACAGGTTTCATAAAATATTAAACACAAAAGACATTAGTTCCAATTAAGAGGTACATGGACTAGAATTTCAGGGAATAAATGAACAGAAATGGCTTTGTGAATTGTACTTGCTCCAGCTCTGGATGAGTTGAACATTTTCCTCTTTACCTTTGCCCAGTCACTATCATCTTGTCTGGGCTCCAGTGAGTCATTCTTCTTCAGCATAGTGATGGAAAAAGTAATACTAGACATTGCAGGGTAAATATTTTTCCTTGTGAAATAGTAGATATGCATCAACACATTCCTTGTCTCTTCGGCCCTAGGAAAAAACTCCCTGATATTTTGAGGCTAAGGCAGAGGCTTAAGACTGTAATTTTGCTCCTAAGTTTTTTGTAGTTACTAATTATATTATCTTGATCCATTCTATTTGTCATTCATTCATAAAATGCCTATTGATACACACTCATACACATGACCGTGATAATGAATAAACACATTCAACAAAATTATGATGTATAAGATCAGCATAGAAAAATCAATTTCCATATACTAGCAAATGAACCATTTGAAAATAAAATTAAAATAATTTTATTCACAGCACATCAAAAATAACAGAATATTTCAGTATCAATTTAATAATTAAATTTATTATACCTAATAAGTAATAAAACATCCCATGTTCATGAATTGGATGAGTCAGTATGATTAAAATGATAATTTCCTTCAAATTAATCAACAAATTTAACTTAATTCTATCAAAATTCCAAAGGACTTCTTTGCAGAAATCGACAAATTGATTTTAAATTTATATGGTAATGGAAAAGACCAATAATAGACAAAATCATTATGTTTCATAGTTTCAAAACTTAATAGCTATAATTCTCAAGAGAGTGTGGTACTGACCTAAGAATAGGCATACAGATGAATTAACCAGAATTGATAGTTCAGAAATAACTCTTGATGGACAAGTCATTTTTGAAAAAGGTGCTATGGCATTTCAAAGGGGAAAGGATAGTCTTTTCAACAAATGGTTTTGGAATATCCACATTAAAAAAAGAGGAACTCCTATCTTGCATTGTACATGAAAAAATTAAAGTAATTAAGAGAATTCAGTGTAAGAGTTATGAAACCATAAAAATTTTGGAAGAAAAATAGAAAATCTTGTAGACCTTGGGTGCTATGGTGTCAAAAAAAAAAATGGATACGTTAAGCTTCACCAAAATTAAAACTCTAGTGTTTCAAAACACACCATTAAGAAAATGGAAACTCAAGTCACAGAGCAGGGGTGGGAAATATTTGTTAATTACATATCTGATAAAGGAGTATTATTCAGAATATACAAAGAACTATTAGAACTCAGTGAGAAGACAACCTCATGAGCAAAAGATATGAATAGGCATATCACCCACAGGAGATATATTTAATGGCTAAAAAGCACAGGAAAAGATGCTCCATATTACTAGTGAAAATGCAGATCAAAACCATCAAGAGATACCAGTTCACAGAGAGAAAATAACAAATGCTGAGGAAGACATAGAGTAATAGGAACCTTAGACATTGCTGGTAGTGGTGTAAAACTGTACAGCCACTTTAGAGAACAGTTTAATATCTTCTTGAAAAGTTAACCATAAATTTACCACATGGCCTATCAATTTTATTCCTAGACATTTAACCAAAAGAAATGAAAATTCTTTTCATTTGAACAGAATGCTCAATGAAGTCACCCCCGCTCTGCGACTTGAGTTTTCATTTTCTTAATGGTGTGTTTTGAAACACTAGAGTTTTAATTTTGGTGAAGCCTAATGTATCCATTTTTTTTGACACCATAGCACCCAAGGTCTACAAGTTTTTCTATTTTTCTTCCAAAATTTTTATGGTTTCATAACTCTTACACTATTTCATTCTTTTTTACACAAAGATTTGCACATGAATGTTCATAGCAGAATTATCATAAATGCTAAAAATTGAAACCATCCCACATTCTCATCAACTGATGAAAGGAGAAATAAAACATAGTAGCACTCCCATATAATTGAAGTTCAACAATAAAAAGGAATGAAACATTGAAGTTACATGTATGAACCTCAAAAACATGGTAAATGAAAGAAGCTGGACAGAAGAGATCACATGTTGTATGATTCCATTTATATGAAATGTCTATAAAAGGCCAACTGTAAGTAGATTTGTGATTGCCTGAGCCTGGGAGTAAAATGCAGGACTAAATGGCTGTGGAGGATCTTATCAGAGTAAGGAAAAATATTCTAAAACTGGTTTCTGGTAATGATTGTGCAACTTGGTAAATGTATGAAAAAAATCATTGCATTACATGATTAAAATGGATGAATTTTAATGTATATAAATTATACCACAATAGTGAATAGCATGGGTAAGATTTCGGCCTTTGTGGAGCTTATAGATTAATGATGAGACACGTAAGTAATAATTAAGCAAAATAATTAAAATAAGTGACCAAAAAGGAAAGTCCAGTGAATTGGAAAGAAAATCAGAAGGAGGGAGTTGATAACTATATTGGGTGCAGCCAGGAGGTTGAGTGGAGATTCATGGGCACCTTAGTGACCTTAATAACCTCATTTGAACATTGGGCAAAGGGTGATCGGATTGCAGTGAGATTTGAATGGCAGGATAAGAAGTGGAGGCAACAGTTAGGTAACTATTTGGAGAAGTTTGTAAAAGGAAGCAAAGGAAAGGGGTAAAAAAGAGAAGGCTGTGAAACATGAGTCTTGTCAAGGGAGACACCACCTGGATTTGGAAGATTGTACATCTTGTTTATAAATTGCTAAGAATGGTCCAGGACAGAGATAAGCGTTGATGACTCAGGAGATGGGGACACCAAGAAAGGAGCAGAGTCCTTTAGGAATTGAGAGGAGTTGGATACAGAGTGCAAATGAGGGTTTGACTTTTGCAAAAAGACAACATTTTCTTCAATTTAATGAGGAAAATAATTCAGGATATATGCAGATGCAGGTAGGTTTGAATGTGAGAATTGAAGGGAGTATCCAGCCGGGCTCGGTGGCTCACCCCTCTAATCCCAGCACTTTGGGAGGCCGAGGCAGGTGGGTCATGAGGTCGAGAGATCGAGACCATCCTGGTCAACATGGTGAAACCCCATTTCTACTAAATACAAAAAATTAGCTGGGTATGGTGGCGCGTGCCTGCAGTCCCAGCTACTCAGGAGGCTGAGGCAGGAGAATTGCCTGAACCCAGGAGGCAGAGGTTGCGGTGAGCCGAGATCGCCGCGCCATTGCACTCCAGCCTGGGTAACAAGAGCGAAACTCCATCTCAAAAAAAAAGAAAAAAGAAAAAAAGAAATTAAAAAAAGGGAGTATCTTTTCCTGTTACAATTTGAGGTTAGCTAAAAGGCAGGATGGAGTGGGTCAAAAAAGGTGTGCGGAAAAGCTGAGGACAGAGAAGATACAAAGTATCCCCTGGGAGAATAGCAAAGAGCTTTTCCTAGGAGAACATGTAGGGCTGCCAAGCCGAACGGCGTGTTTTATTTGAAATTACTGAGAAAAACTATAAGGAGAAGTCAATTCGCTCAATTCCATTTCTTCTATAGTTTTGTCCTTCTGGGGTTTCAGGCTCAGAGAAGGCAGATGTTTGGGTTAACAAGAGTAAGGATTTTGCCTGGCAATTTTAGTGGTTACAGGCCTGGGAGACAAGGTTTTGCTGAGGATATTTGCAGAGGAAGTAACTAATGCTGGGCCATGAAATCTAAGCTGGGAGGGATGCAGGCTTCAATGTATCTTTCTCTTTGAGCAAGGGCACTTAAACTAGTCTTTCAGTTGCACTTAATGGAAAACAAAGTGCTTCAGAACAGCTGAAGAGGAAACCTATTATGTAGAATTAATTAGTTTACCCATAGTACCAGTTTTTTTTTTTTTTTTCTTTTTTTTGAGACGGAGTTTCGCTCTGGTTACCCAGGCTGGAGTGCAATGGCGCGATCTCGGCTCACCGCAACCTCTGCCTCCTGGGTTCAGGCAATTCTCCTGCCTCGGCCTCCTGAGCAGCTGGGATTACAGGCACGTGCCACCATGCCCAACTAATTTTTTGTATTTTTAGTAGAGACGGGGTTTCACCATGTTGGTCTCGATCTCTTGACGTTGTGATCCACCCACCTCGGTCTCCCAAAGTGCTGGGACTATAGGCGTGAACCACTGTGCCCGTCCATGGTACGTACTAGTTTTGTTAGTCATCGTAAAAATTCAAGTTGTTCTTGGCGTAGCATGTATTATATGCTCTGTAATGATCCTTACAAATCCTTTTGGAATTTGTAGAAATGTACTTTAAAACCTTTGTCTGATATTTTCCCTAGCTGACAGTTTCTTGTTTGTTTTTTTTTTTGAGACGGAGTTCCGCTCTTGTTACCCAGGCTGGAGTGCAATGGCGCGATCTCGGCTCACCGCAACCTCCGCCTCCTGGGTTCAGGCAATTCTCTTGCCTCAGCCTCCTGCGTAGCTGGGATTACAGGCACGCGCCACCATGCCCAGCTACTTTTTTGTATTTTTAGTAAAGACGGGGTTTCACCGTGTTGACCAGGATGGTCTCGATCCCTTGACCTCGTGATCCACCCGCCTCGGCCTCCCAAAGTGCTGGGATTACAGGCTTGAGGCACCGCGCCCGCCCAGTTTCTTGTTTTTTAGTAAAGTATGTCAGAATAGGCCGGGCGCGGTGGCTCACGCCTGTAATCCCAGCACTTTAGGAGGCCGAGACGGGCGGATCACGAGGTGAAGAGATTGAGACCATCCTGGCCAACACAGTGAAACCCTGTCTCCACTAAAAATACAAAAAAATTTGCGGGCGTGGTGGCGCACGCCTGTAGTCCCAGCTACTCCGGAGGCTGAAGCAGGAGAATTGTTAGAATGCGGGGGGGCGGAGGTTGCAGTGAGCCGAGACTGCGCCACTGCACTCCAGCCTGGCGCCTGCCGACAGAGCCACTCTGTCTCAAAAAAAAAAAAAAAAAAGTATGTCATGATAATGAGGTTCTCACTGAATTAACTTCACTCAGCTCTTGGTTGTCATAGATTTTATTTCATGAAACACAAGTGAATTAGGAGATGGGTGAAGAAATACCAAAATATATTATAAGCAATGGCACTTATTAATGCTAGGTTAAAATTGTACAGAACTATTCAGATTAATGAAATAGAGCAGAAAGTCCAGAAACATTCCCATTGTATGTAAGGACATAGTATGTGATAAAGGTGACGTTTTGGTATAGGGAAAGATTCAGTAGAGTAAATGATTCTGTAAATAGCATTGAAGCAATTGGCTTACATTTTGGGAAAAATATGATTACATGTTTATCTTATGTCATGTACAAAAATATGTCACAGAAGGAACTTTTTAGACAAAATATGTGGAAATTTATGTCACTGCAGAGGAATTTTCTAAATATGAAACCAAGCCATAAAGAAAATCAGTAGTTTTGGTTGAATTAAACTATTAAAATTTTATGTGCACAAAACACTGTAAATAACACTAAAGGTAAAATACAATCAATAAAAGGTATTTCCAACAATATCACTAAAATATAGAGAATTCTTACAAATTATTTGTATAGACAGGGTCTCCAGGAGGAAAGAAAGGATAAATATATAAATGACCAAAAATACATGAAGAAATAACCTCTCATATTAAAAACATAATAATTAAAACATATGATACTTTTAACATAACAGATTGGCAAAATTTTTGTTTTATTATGACAACTCATTTTGGATGGAGGGGGCATTCTAACATTTTCTATAAATTGATAGAACCATTTTGAAAAGCAGTTTAGAAGTATTCAGTAAAAGCCTTAAAATTTCAAAGTCTACATTGAGCCAGTTCCACTTCTACAAATATATTCTAAATGCATAATCATGATAAGTACAAATATTTATTATAAGAATGTTCAATAAAGCATTATTGTATAAAAAATTTTTAATAGCAAATATCTCAACTGGCAACTGATAAAATAATTGGGATTACATGGATTGTAATTGTGCAGTCATGAAACATGGAACAATATATTGAATGATGTGGGGAGACAATTGTGATATGGTGTTAAATGAAAAGTCATTACAGCATAGAATGGATTGTGTGTTTATAAAAACAAAATAATGTGTGCATGTAAGGGGATGAGAAGGATATAGATCAAATATATTAATTGTCTTTCATAATGGGATTATGGGTGATTTTTCTTTGTGCTAATCTGCATTTAGTACAGTAAATATATGTTTCCTTTTTTATGAGAAAAATGCTATTTTGTTATAAAGGAAAATTTGTGAGAAGTATGCAGCTGAAAGAGCTGTCTTTTTGTAGGCCAAATCGTACCTCCTCTTTGCGCTGGTGAAGTACATCTATGCTGTGACTCACAGATTATTCCTCCCGTACCCCATACCACGTTTTGCCTATTGGTAAGTAGAGTGCTCCTTTTGTGCGACTTCTGGAAATGCTAACTCCACACACTTGTTCTTAATGTTCTCCCTTAGGGTTATAGGGTGTGTGAAGGACTAGACTCCACCTCTCCTAGTATTATGCCATTAGCTCAAGGAAGAAGCAGAAATAGATTAACGCCAGTAAGAAAAATGTGTTGGGAGATTAAATCTGCAGTCCTTCACCTTTTCCAATTTAAAACCATTGAGTTTAATTTTGGAGAAATCACTTGCTTGGCACATACATAAGAGGCAGTCAGATTCCCCTGTGTTTCATGTTACTCATTAAATCAACCTTATCATGCTACTGGGGAAGGGAGTCAGGCTAATACAGACTTGGATTTGTGGTTGCCTTTTCTTTCCTTGCTTCTTAGTTTACTTCCTCCTTTTGTGGGTTAAATATCTTTGACTTGGCTGGGAGTGGTGGCTTATGCCTGTAATCCCAGCACTTTGGGAGGCCAAGGTGGGCCTATTGCTTGAGCTCAGGAGTTCAAGACCACCCTGGGCAATATAGCAAAACCCCATTTCCACAAAAAATACCAAATTAGATGGATGTGGTGGGCATATGCCTATAGTCCCAGCTACTGGGGTGGAGTGGGGGATGCAAGAGGACTGCTTGAGCTTGGGAGTTCAGGGCTATAGTGAGCTGAGATTGTGCCACTGCACTCCAGCCTAGGTGACAGAGCAAAACCCTATTTCAAAATGAAATCTTATACTTATCATGTCACACCCTAGTTGTCTGGTTAAGGGGACTGTCACATCCATTGTGTCATAAACTGATCTTCATTTGGATTTTCATTTGTTCATTCAACAAGTATTTATTGAATGCCTACTATATCTTAATGTATTAGGTACTCAGAATGTTACAATAAACACTCAAAAATCTTACGGTCTAACGGGGTACCAGAAAAATAGACCATTAGCATGCAGCATGATAAAACAGTATTTATTGAGTGTTGTACCTTTCAGCCTATTTACTTGTCTCCTTTAATACTTACAGTTATCTATAAAGTAAGGAGAGTATATGGAGTGAGTGGAAGAGGAGGCCACAGAGTAAGAAACTTACAGGCTTGAGCCACCATGCCCAGCACAAAATTATCCTTTAACCAAAGGGACAGTGGTGAACTAGCCAGCCGGAGCTGCTCACTGTCAGTAATTTTTACCAGGGAGTGTCTGGTAACCCTTGGAAAAAGAGTCCGTTTTTCCAAGGGGACATCTGGATCTAAGAAGTGCTGTATGCTGACCTGAAGTTGATCAAGTACTCCTCATATATTTTCTCATTTTCACCACAGCCTTGTGAGGTAGATACTGTCATGCCATTTTATGGGACAGCCACAAATAGGCCAAGCGTCAGAGAGTAAATGGCAACAGCAGGACCAGACCCAGGTTTTCTGTCTAGTGCAGTTTTTCTGGGAGCAGTGAGAGGTGGAGGAGGAATCTAAAGGGCTTGCTTTACAATTTTGCCTGGAGCCAGTCCACACCAGAGCCATGTGAGGTCACAAGAAATGCAAGTTGGGAAACAGAGTGGGATGGGGTATTTATAAAGAAGGTTCCATAACCCTCCAGGTACTCCAGGTAACCTTGGATATGAGCTCCGTTTGGCTTTTTTGTTCTGTTTTGTTTTGTTTCCAAGCAGGTTTTTAAAGGCAAAAGGGGGAACAAGGCGTGAGCTGATACAAAGTTGTTTGCCAGGAATTCTCATTGGTTTATACAAATAACATTGGTTAGTGATTGGCTGTACATGGTTGAGTTACAGAGTATGAGCTATGGTGTTCAGCATGTGGCACTGTTAGATTATAACTACTTGTGTTAGTTGGTCTAGAATCCATACAGCAGGCAGCTTCAGGAGGTGGTTACTTAGCTCAAGGCAGGTGAGTGGGACATGACTGCTGTCTCATTTCAAGGGCTCTCTGAGCCAGGTCAGTTAGAGCAGGTTCACATTCCTCAGATAAAAGTTTATTTGGTTTCTCATTTAAATAATTTTTATCAGTGATTACTGGGTTTTGAAGCCTAATAACTTAGATTCTTTCTCTAGGAGAGTCTGAATCTAATGGTTGTAAACCGAAGTAAAAATAAAACCATAAATAAATTAGTAGGAAAGCTGGTGGGATCAGAGGGTGGATAAAAACAGCCTTTACACTTTTGAGCTCCATAATACATTTCACAGCATGAAACAATCATTCATTTACCTAAAAAATTGTTGACCTCCTGCCAAATATATTTTTACAGGTAAGGAGAAATTGGTAGATTTACCTACAGTTGCATAGCTGATATGTGGCCAAACATCAAAATCCAGAGATCTAAACCAGTATGTTTTGTACTCATAATTATATGCTCTGACATAAAACAAAAAGGCAGATTAGATTTCATGCTAATTACTGATAAATCTTTCTGTGATGCTGGTTCAATTGCCTTCATTGATTATTGCAGAATTTTCTATTTGATTCTCTTTGCTGAACTCTCATGACATTTTAGATATGCTACATGTTAGGGATTCCAAGCTAATTAAGAAATTGACACTACTCCAAAGACCTCCTAATTGGTGTCTTTACCTTTGATCTCTACTCATTCTGAATCTCATTATTGTCTAAATTTTCTAACATAAAAGCTTGAATTTTTGTTTTCTTTTTTCTTTTCTTTTTTTTTTTTTGAGACGGAGTTTAGCTCTTGTTACCCAGGCTGGAGTGCAATGGCGCGATCTCGGCTCACCGCAACCTCCGCCTCCTGGGTTAAGTCAATTCTCCTGCCTCAGCCTCCTGAGTAGCTGGGATTACAGGCACGCGCCACCATGCCCAGCTAATTTTTTGTATTTTTAGTAGAGACGGGGTTTCACCATGTTGACCAGGATGGTCTCGATCTCTTGACCTTGTGATCCACCCGCCTCGGCCTCCAAAAGTGCTGGGATTACAGGGTGTTTTCTTATTTAAGAATGCTAAGTGATTCTCCTGTAATAAAGTAAAAACTCCTGAGCAGGGCCAGAGTTGGAATAAGGGGCAGAAAGGAAATTTAGTTCAATAGGGTTAATGATGTTCATTTTAGGCACGCGGACTTATGATTCTGAGGAATCAGGAGGTGTTTGAAAGTTCACAGCCGGCATTGTGGCTCAAGTCAGTTCTGAAGGTAACAGATTTAGGGACCAATGCTGAATCCATGGGGGAAACAAGAGCCCTTGAAATGGGATACGAGTAGGAGATAATGCTGAGGATGCTGGGAGAATAATCTAGAATCAGGGTTCCAGGATCTTGGCATAGCCACCTCAAATCCTTTCTGCATCAGGCCTCATTTTCCTTTGCTTCTGAAGAAAATGGAAAAATTAATACAAATGGTCCCCCAACTTACCATGGGTTCTGTCCCAATCAATGAGAAATTGAAAATATTGTAAGTTGAAAATGCACTTAATATACTTAGCCTACTGAACACCATTGCTTGGCCTAGCCTACCTTAAACATGCTGAGAACATTTACATTGACTTACTCCTGGGCAAAATTATCTAACACCAAGCCTTTTTTAATCATAAGGTGTTAAACATCTCATGTAATTCATAGAATATGGTACTGAAATTGAACACCAGGTTGGTTGTATGGGTACTCAAAGTACAACTTGTACTGAATGCATATTGCTTCTGCATGACCGTAAAGTTGAGCAATTGTGAGTTGAATCATATAGTAAGTTGGGGACTATCTGTGCTGCATCAAGGGCCCCAGGATGTGAACATAAATCATGTAAATCATTCTCATTCCTGGATAAAAATCTGTTTCGGGAAAGAAGATAAATTAGCATGATACAAATCTGCAAATTACATTTGCCCAGTTTGAAGATGAGGGTCCAGCATAGTGTGACAAAGCGTGTTTTCTCATCAACACCGTAAGTAGTTTTGCAGACGACATGCTGCTCACTTTGCCCAAATTTGTGATTATTTCCTCAGGAAATGGAATTACTGGGCTAAAGGGAGTTAACATCTTTAAAGTTCTTGTTACCCACTGAGAAACTGGCCATGAGAAAGACTGAATAATGCATATACATGTCAATTGCAGCCCATCATTACTAATGCTAAATATATTCCTCAAAAAGTTTTTTGTTTAATAGGGTATAAAGGACATTTAATTTTTTATTCAATATGCCTTACTTTGATCATGAATAATTGCCCTGCCTTGCCTTGCCTCAAATTGCCTTGCCTGGAATTGCCCTTCCCTGCCCTGCCTTGCCTTGAATTGCCTTGCCTGGAATTGCCCTGCCCTGCCCTGCCTTGCCATGCCTCAAATTATCCTTCCCTGCCCTGCCTTGACTTGCCTCGAATTGCCCTGCCTGGGACAGCCCTGCCCTGCCTTGCCATGGCTTGAATTGCCCTGCCTGGAATTGCCCTGCCCTACCCTGTCCTGCCTTGCTTTAAATTGCCTTGCCTGGAATTGCCCTTCCCTGCCTTGACTTGCCTTGAATTTCCTTGCCTGGAATTGCCTTGCCCTGCCCTGCCCTGCCTTGCCTTGCCCTGCCTCAAATTGCCTTACCTTGCCTTGCCCTTCCCTGCCCTGCTCTGCCCTGCCCTGCCTGGCCCAGGATGAGCAGTGGTGAAGGATGCTCCTGGGGTCCCTGGCTGGGAAAGGTATTAGGGGGTCACACGTAACTAGGCTGAGGCAAGAAGAATACACGTCCGGGGTGGCAGTGGTACTGAACAAGAAAGGGCACTGGTGTCCAGTCCCTTCAAGAAGCATTTTCACCTTCCCTTAAGGTTTCCCTTGATGAACATGGAAGTACTGTATGTAGAATTGACTGTTCCAGCATCTTTGTATATTAGGCCAAATTTATATGTCTTCCTTTTATGAGAGGCACCCTGGTAGGCTAGGGGAGTTACACATGAAGTCTGATCTCAGCTTCTCTGTCCAGAGATGCAACATAGTCCAATCAAATAACATTCTCTGAGACTATTTCTCTTTTACTTATTTTATTTATTTTTTAGAGTTGGGGTCTTGCTCTTTTGTTGTGGTGTCATCATCTTGGATCACTGCAACCTCCACCTCTTGGGTTCAAGTGATTCTCCTGCCTCAGCCTCCTGAGTAGCTTGGACTACAGGCATGTGCCACCATATCCAGCTAATTTTTGTATTTTTAGTAGTGATGGGGTTTCACCGTTTTGGCAGAGATCGTCTTGATCTTCTGACCTCATGATCCACCTGCCTTAGCCTCTCAAAATGCTGTGATTACAGATGTGAGCCATTACACTTGCCCTGAACTCATTTTTTAGCTGTAAAATAAGAATAACAATTGTACTAATCTAAAAAGACAGCTTATTATATTGTCTTTTATTTTTTATGAAACTGTGTTTAACACAGTAATTATTTTCTTTGCCGTGCCACATTTGTTTTTGTTTTGTCTTTGTTTTTCTTTTAGATGGAGTCTGTTTTGTTTTGTTTTTGTTTTCTTGAGATGGAGTCTCGCTGTTGTAGGCCAGGCTGGAGTGCAGTGGCATGATCTTGGCTCATCCTGTATCATACCCACAGAGAGACCCTTTTTATCTCCAGGGCTTGGGAAGCAGCCAGGTTCCATGAGTTAAATGCAGATCTGAACCATACTGAGCTGGGATTAAAGTACACACCCTCCTCTTCTGAAAAGTGGCTAAGGATTCCAACTTGGTGCAGTGGAGAGTGTGGCAGAGCCAGACCAGACAAGGACCGATCACCTGGAAAAGCATGTTGTCAAAGGCCTTGGTGAGTGCTGAGTGCCAGAGCTCACACCGGTAATCCCAGCACTTTGGGAAGCTAAGACAGGTGGATCGCTTGAAGCCAGGAGTTTGAGTAGAGCCTGGGCAACATGGCAAAACCTGTCTCTACTAAAAACACAAAAATTAGCCAGGTGTGGTGGCACTTGCCTTTAATCCCAGCTACTCAGGAGGCTGAGAGAGGAGAATGGCTTGATCCAGGCAGGCAGAGTTTGCAGTGAACCAAGATCATGTCACTGCACTCTAGCTTGGGCAACAGAGTGAGACTCCATCTCCAAAAAAAAAAAAAATAAAATAAAAAAAAATAAAAAAAAAACCCATAAAGAAGAAAGGTCTACTTCTGGGGATTGGGTGAGGGACTGCTGACCGAACTGGAAACTTTGTTCAGGTGGGGTTGTTTGTTTGTTTTGAGATGGAGTCTGGCTCTCTCACCCAGGCTGGAGTGCAGTGGCACAATCTTGGCTCACTACAACCTCCGCCTCCCCCTCTTCAGGTTCAAACAGTTCCCATGTCTTAGCCTTCCAAGTAGCTGAGATTACAGGCATGTGCCATGACGCCACACCAGCTAGTTTTTTTGCAGAGACAGGGTTTCACCATGTTGACCAGGCCAGTCTCGAACTTCTGGCCTCAAGTGATCTGCCCACTTTGACCTCCCAAAATGCTGGGATTACAGACATGAACCACTGCACCCAGCCCCTTCAGGTGGGTTTTGAGACTTCACTATGATACTAGTTTCCTGTTTCTGCTGCAACAAATTACCACACACTTAGGGCTTAAAACAACATAGATGTAGCTGGGCATGGTAGCTCACACCTGTAATCCAACACTGGGAGTCTGAGGCGGGCGGATCACCTGAGGTTGGGAGTTCGAGACCAGCCTAACATGGAGAAACTTCACCTCTACTAAAAATACAAAAATAGCTGGGTGTGATAGTGCATGCCTGTAATCCCAGCTACTCAGAAGGCTGAGGCAGGAGAATTGCTTCAACCTGGAAGGCGGAGGTTTCAGTGAGCCGAGATCGTGCCATCACACTCCAGCCTGGGTAAAAAGAGGGGAACTCTGTCGTTAAAAAAAAAAAAAAAAGCAACACAGATGTATTCCCTTACAGTTCTGAAGGCCAGAATTCTAAATTCGGTTCCACTGACTCAAGATGGGAGCAGGGCAGGTACCTTCCCAGGCTCTGAAGGAGAATGAGTTTCTGGCCCTGGAGGCTTCCTGGAATCCTCAGCTTGTGCTGCCCTTCTTGAATGACTGGAGGTACCTGCTTCCATCACTACACTTCCCATCGCTCTCCATCACCTGCTCTGCTCTGGTAAGGATCTGGGTGAGTACATCAACCCCACTGTGACAAGCCAGAATAATCTTCCTGGCCAAAAGTCCTTAACTTCATTATATCTCTAAAGCCCCTTTTACCGTATGAGGTCATGTTCACCGGTTCCTGGGATTAGGTTATGAGCATCTTGGGGGGTCACTATCAGCCTATTACAGGTATGCCGCAAAACTATTACACCTTCCTGGTGTTTCAGTGATTGGGAGGAAAAGGGTTGGGATTTTTGCTTTGGGGTTTTCTTTTTTGACATGGAGTCTTGCTCTTTTACACAGGCTGGCTGCAGTCTTCGTTCCCTGCAACCTTTGTCTCCTGGGTTCAAGTGATTCTTCCACCTCAACCTCCTGAGTACCTGGGACTACAGGTGCCTGCCACCATGTCTGGTTAAGTTTTGTATTTTCAGATGAGATGGGCACATGGAGGGGGCAGTGGAAGGTGGGGGAGGGGACGGAAGTTTCTGCTATGTTGCCCTCAGCTCAGAGCGATCCACTTACCTCTGCTCCCTAAGTGCTAGGATTACAGGCCTACATGGCCTCACTGGCTGCTGTAAAGTCTTATTTCCACACAAGTGAGACATGTTTTAGGAAGTTTGCTAAAAGACCCCTGGAGACATTGTCGTTGTGGCCTCCTTGTTACTTAATTTGATGGATCTTTTCTGCCCTCCTCCTTTTCAGAAATTAAAAGGATAAAAAGAGGTACTAAACTTTAAAACTTTTCTTACAGTCTCCAATTAAACTAATTATAAGAACCACCAAAAAAGGGAAAAATTTTTTCAAAAGCAGTAAAATGATATGGACTGTTGAGATGTAAAATATAGGAAATAAGTCATTATACGTTAATGTTGCTCTGACGTAGGGACTTATTATTGACAATCAACCTTTGCTCAATTTTCAGAGAAATGCAATGATGGTATCGCTGATCTATGTAAACACATTGAAGAACTATCTGAAAGAAAATATGGTATGTCTAAACTGGAAAAGTCCTGTAATACTTTGTTCATGAGTGTTTATACAATGGAGTCACTGTTCATCTTGTAGTGTCTGTCTAAATATTAGAAACTTTCTTTCCAGATTACTGCAAAGCTAAGGAAAAGTTGTATTTTTTAAATTATCAGTTAGCATTTCTTTTAAACTTTCAGCATGAATATTGGCAATTTATTTACATATTTATTGCAAAGCCCTGGATCTTAGGGATTTAATTAATTTTGTTTTTTTTTTTAAACTAATTGTTTCTTTTTACATGCTTTGTTAAATTCGGTATTTGGTTGGGCATGGTGGCTCATGCCTGTAATCCCAGCACTTTGGGAGGCCAAGGCGGGCAGATCATGAGGTCAGCTTGGCCAAGTCTCTTATTCTGTCTGAGCCTTAGTATGCTCTTTAGTGGTCGTGAGAACGGAAGATCTATCTCGAAGATTTGATAGCATGCTACACTGCTTCACATAATACCGGATATATAAATACATAATAAATTCATCTTGCTTATGTTTTAATTTACTTATTTATTTTTTGAGGCAGAATCTTGCTCTGTTGCACAGACTGAAGTGCAGTGGCATGAGATCTCGGCTCACTGCAACCTCTGCCTCATGGTTTCAAGCAATTCTTCTGCCTCAGCCTCCCAAGTAGCGCGGATCACAGGCGTGCACCACCATGCTCAGTTAACCTGTGTATTTTTAGTAGAGACAGGGTTTCACCATGTTGGCCGGACTGGTCTTGAACTCCTGACCTCAAGTGATCTATCCGGCTTGGCCTCACAAAGTGCTGGAAATTCAGGTGTGAGCCACTACATCTGGCCTATGATTTTATGATATTGTTAATTTAGTACTATTCTGAGTAAAAATCATTTGCTGTTAAAGTTTTATGAATTTACTGTTTTATAAATTAACTGATAATTTTTATAAATATCAGTGCTTTTATCAGGTGAAACTGATTATGTTGTGGGACTTTTGTTGTGATGGTGGTTTATTAGATTATTTTGTTTAAAGACAATGTTCAGCTGTTGTGAAATTATAAAAACTATCTTCACACTTTATAATTTTAAAGCATTATTAATAGTAATTGCCTTAGGGAAAGATACTTTTTTGTAATATGAAAGTATGATATTCAAGTTTAGTGTACAGCAAAGGATATTAAATCTAAGGACTAATGTGCACTTGAAACATGAGTACAAATATCAGTGTTTAGCAGATAGACCTTAACACATACTGATAGCAAAGAAATGGAGCTGTTTTGATGGGAGACTGTTGGTTATGTGTGATTTGAATATTCCCCATGCTCTTGACTTTTCTTTTTTTTTTTTTTCTTTGAAACAGAGTCTTCCTCTTTCACTCAGGCTGGAGCGCAGTGGTGTGATCTCAGCTGACTGAAACCTCCACTTCTCAGGTTGAATTTATCCTCTTGCCTCAGCTTCCCTAGTGGCTAGGACAACAGGTGAGTGCCACCATGCCCAGCTAATTTTTGTATTTTTGGTAGAGATGGGGTTTCACCATGTTGGCCAGGCTAGTCTCAAACTCCTGACCTCAGGGGATCCACCCACCTTGGCCTCCCACAGTGCTGAGGTTACAGGTGCGAGCCACTCCCACCTGGCTAACACTTGACTTTTTTCTTTTTTGAGATGGAGTTTTGCTCTTGTTGCCCAGGCTGTAGAGCAATAGCTCAATCTCGACTCACTGCAACCTCTGCTTCCCGGGTTCAAGCTATTCTTCTGCCTCAGCCTCCAGAGTAGCTGGGATTACAGGCATATGCCACAGTTAATTTTATATTTTATTAGAGATGGGTTTTTTCATGTTGGTCAGGCTAGTCTGGAACGGTCTACCTCAGGTGATTTGCCTGCCTCAGCTTCCCAAAATGCGGGGATTACAGGCATGAGCCACCATGCCCAGCCCAGCTCTTGACTTTTTATAGCTGTTATGTTAGTTGAGTCTTGAGTAAATAAATGCTAGCTTAAAAGTTGCAGTTCAGGGAATCTTCTGTTTCTGTTACTAAAAAAATTATTTTTGTAAGTCCAATAAGGTTACACTAATGTTTATGTTTTGAAAATATTACCTCTTCCATTTAGTACTACATGTATTAAATAATATTAGCTGGTATGTTTTTCTCACTTTATAATGTGGTTCAGATTTCTTTAGACAGTTTGGCTGTATCTACATTGCCTTAAAGTAATGGGATCTACCGATCTTTTCTTTTCTATTTGAGCTGGAGTTTTGCTCTTGTCACCCATGCTAGAGTGCAATGGTGTGATCTTAGCTCACTGCAACCTCTGCCTCCTGGGTTTAGGTGATTCTCCTATCTCAGCTTCCCAAGTAGCTAAGATGACAAGCACTCACCACCATAACTGGCTAATTTGTGTATTTTTCATAGCAATGCAGTTTTGACATGTTGGCCAGCCTGGTCTTCAATTCCTGACCTCAGGCGATTCACCTGCGTTGGCCTCCCAAGTGCTAGGATTACAGAGGTAAGTCACCCTGCCTGGCTGTAATGGGATATTTCACTGCAAACTTTGATGAACAGAATATTAGCATTTTTGGTGTTATTTTTATTTTTCTCACACTATTTTTCTTGGACTGAATTACAACAAAAGAAGTAAAGATCAAATTATAAAAGTTCAAGAGCAATGCCTGGCTCAGTGGCTCATGCCTGTAATCCCAGCACTTTGGGAGTCCAAGGCGGGTGGATCACAAGGTCAGAAGATCGAGACCATCCTGGCCAACATGATGAAATTTCGTCTCTACTGAAAGTATAAAAATTAGCTGAGCATGGTGGCGGGCACATGTAGTCCCAGCTACTCAGGAGCCTTAGGCAGGAGAATCACTTGAACCCGGGACATGGAGGTTGCAGAGAGCTGAGATTGCGCCACTTGACTGCAGCCTGGCAACAGAGCGAGACTCCATCTGAAAAATGAAGAGTTAAAGAGCAATACAGGTTGTGTTTAAATGATCTCCCTTTTTCTTTTTGTCCTTACAGCTCAAACAATAAAAGCCACTGGTCTGTTGATGATCCTGTACCCTTTTCTCCAGTCTCATGTTGAAGACCTTTATGTAGAAGGACTTCCCAGAGGAATGTTTTTTCCTTTGTGAGACAGAGTTTTCACTCTTGTCGCCTCGGCTGGAGTGTAGTGGCATGATCTCGGCTCACTTTAACCTCTGCCTCCTGGGTTCAAGCAGGTTTACTGCCTCAGTCTCCATATGGGCCAGGCTGGTTTCAAAATCCTGACCTTGTGGTACACCTTCCTTGGCCTTCCAAAGTGCTGGGATTACAGGCATGAGCCACTGTGCCCAGCCTATTTTATGTATTTTTTATCTTCCTCTTTTCAATTTATCTGGGTCCAGCTTTAAGTCAGTGATGGCAGTGTTAGCTTTTGAAACATGAACACCGCCCACACCTGACTGGCTGCAACTTACATTTTCTTTTACAATGTTGTGTTACTTTTGCTGAAGAAAATGGTATCCATGTCTTGCTTTTAGGCCTGAGATTTTTAAAGCACATGTGGGAATATGTGATTGTTTTTATAGATATGTAGAGGAAAATAGCCTTGAATGCAATGCAATATTAAAGGATCCCATTTGTGATTTTTGTAGTATGCTTCAAAGAGCTGTGTGTTGCCAAATTACCACTTTACTTGTGAGGACACATGCTCCATGAAGCAACTTATGAGGCAATTTGCAATGATTTTTTTTTGTTACTCTGTAGAAACCTCAACTGAAGATTTAGTTGTGCTCAAGCATTCAGATTGTCTTAATTTTTTTCTGAGAGGGAGTCTTGCTCTGTCACCCAGGCTGCAGTGCAGTGATGTGATCTCAGCTCACTGCAACCTCGCCTTCTTGGGTGCAAGCAATTCTCCAGCTCAGCCTCCTGAGTAGCTGCGATTCCAGGTTCCTGCCAACACGCCCAGCTAAGTTTTATATTTTTAGTAGAGATGGGGTTATGTTGGCCTGGTTGGTCTCAAACTTTTGACCTTGTGATCTGTCTGCCTCAGCTTTCCAAAGTGTTGGGATTACAGGCAGGAGTTACTGTGCCCAGCCTGTCTTTTCTTTTCAAAACCACCCTTGGTGATTAAATATTAAATATGTACTAATGGATATTACTTTGCTAAATATTGCCTAGTGAATATTAAATATTCTCACCTTTTAGACATGAGCGATGAATTCAATAACTGAAGATTTACAGCTTGATAAACCAGCTTCAGGAGGTACTTCTTCAGTCTTAAGTCAGATGAGAAGATTATGTGCAATAATTATTGAATGATTAACATTGATTTCTTTAATGGTACCTTCCACATGAAATAATATGTCTCTAACTATTAATTATTTTCCAGGATAAGAGAATTCATGTTGTCAAATTCTAATACTCTCTAAAACAGTCAACTCATTTTCTTTGTATTAACCCATTATAAATACATGTAGATACTGGATTATGGGTAGACAGAAGTAAAACAACAATCTTTGTCCTACTTCTCAGATGCGAGATTTATTTGGCATAGTGCATCAAACAGTTTATTGTTCAAGTCTATGCCAGTCAAGTGAACAAGCATTCATCAAATGCTCGTGATACCCAGAACATAAGAAGGTTTCCTTTTAGAGTATGGAGCCATACATATCATGTCTTAACTGTTAGATGTGTTTTCAAAGAAATAGAATTTATTTTCTCACTAGTTTTGTCTCTGGTGTGGTGTAGGGACAAAACAGAAGGGAATTAAACTGTTTAGATTTACTAAAATCTAAATTTTAGATTGCCAGCAAGATCATGTCCTTAGTCTCTCCATAGAAAATGTCGCCTGCTAGCTGTTTGTTTATTTATTGAGATGGAGTTTTGCTGGGTTGCCCATGCTGGACTGCAGTGGCATGATCTCAGCTTGCTGTATCCTCCCACCTTCTGGGTTCAAGCAAATCTTCCTACTTCATGTTTCAAGTAGCTGGGATTACAGGCACCTGCCACCATGGCTGCCTAATTTTTGTATTTGTAGTGGAGATGGGGTTTCGCCATGTTGGCCAGGCTGGTCTTGAACTCCTGACCTCAGGTGATCTGCCCGCTTTGGCCTCCCAAAGTGCCGGGATTACAGGCGTGAGCCACTGTGCCTGGCCTGGTAGCTGTTCTTGAGCACACCGAGTTGTGCTTTTTTCCAGCTTTAATGAATGTCTGGTTCTTCCTTTTTTTGTTCAGTGTTAGCATTGTTTCAGTGATAAGTACATTCTGGAATCTTAGAAATAATTTTAGTCACAGGAACGAAAAAATACTGCCTATCTTATAATAATATTTAGATTGGGCATGGTGGCTCACGCCTGTAATCAAGCACTTTGAAGGCCAAGGTGGCAGATCACCTGAGGTCGGGAGTTCAAGACCAGCCTGACCAACATGGTGAAATCCCGTCTTAAAAAATAATAATAACAACAATATTTAACAACCCAAGTTAGTAAACCGATTACATTGAGAAAGCTTGTATTTTTGTGATTTTTGACAGCAAAGGAAGAATGGTGTACCAGAATCACCAAATTAAGAAAGACAGTAGATCAGCTTTTCTGCAAAAAAATTTGGTAAGCCTTTTTTTCCTCCTTTAAAGTATGTTACTGAGTAATGTCTTTTGTTTTGTTTTGTTTTGTTTCATTTTCTTTATATGGAGTCTTGCTCTGTCACCCAGGCTGGAGAACAGTGGCTCTCTGCAACCTCCGCCTCCCAGATTCAAGTCATTTTCTTGCCTCACTCTCCCGAGTAGCTGAGATTACAGGTACACACCACCATGTATGGCTAATTTTTGTATTTTTTTAGTAGAGATGGGTTTCACCATGTTGGCCAGGCTTGTCTTGAACTCCTCATTCTGTGATTCCCACGTTTTGGCCTCCCAAAGTGCTGACATTACAGATGTGAGCCACCACACCTGGTGGTAATGTTTTTCATGATGTTTTATCTTAGGAAAGTAAATACAATGAGTAGGACTCAGCTCAAGCTTTCTCTTAATTTTTTTTTTTTTTGGTGATGGAGTTTCAGTGTTGTTGCTCAGGCTAGAGTGCAGAGTGGCACTGGCTTGGCTCACTGCAACCTTCACCTCCCAGGTTCAAGCGTTTGTCTTGCCTCAGCCATTCAAATAGCTGGGATTGTAGGCACCTGCCACCATGCCTGGCTAATATTTGTATTTTTAGTAGAGATGGGGTTTCATCACTTTGGCCAGACTAGCCTAAAACTCCAGACCTGAGTAGATTCCTCCTCCTCCCAACATGTTGGGATTACAGGCATGAGCCACTACACCTGGACTCTCTTACTTTTTTTTTTTTTTTTTTTAAATTTAGATGGAGTCTCATTCTGTCACCCAGGCTGGAGTGCAATGGGGGGATCTCAGTTCACTGCAACCTCTGCCTCCCAGTTTCAATGATTCTCCTGCCTCAGCCTCCTGACAGCTGGGATTGTACGCATGACCACCACACTCGGCTAATTTTATATTTTCAGTAGAGACAGAGCTTTGCCTTGGTCAGGCTGCTTTCAAACTCCTGACCTCAGGTGGTTCAGCTGCCTCAGTGTTCCAAATTGCTGGGATTACAGATGTGAGCCACCATGCCTAGCCATCCTACAGTTTTTAATATGCATGGATTATGGAAATTTTAATCCTACATAAGAGGAGAGAGTCGGGTAATGGAACCCCATATGCTTTTTACTGAGTAAATGTTTCTGTACAGTCAAAGGTTTTCTGCAGGAGGATTGACACCATTGGGAAGCCTGTTTTCTTTGGGCTTTAGCTGTGCCTGGGTGCCACTCTGTAGTAACGGGGAGAGCTTCGGCAGTAGCCACCACTGGGCATTTGAAGGTACAACCTCAGCCAACCTGTCTTTTCTATCTTGTTCCATAAATACTTCATCAACACTTCAGAATACTTAGTTTTAATTTTTCATTCAACATCTTTTGCCACCCAAAGTTACTCTCTGCCCCATTTTTATTCTGCTTCTCAGCAGAATTCTAGGTTATTGTTCTCTGCCCCACCCCCATTTTTTATAAAAACGTTCAAATCTTGTGGACTCTTCCTTGGCTCCTCTCTGTCTCATTTTCAGTCTCTCAAGGCCCCTGCCCTCATCCTCTCTACACTAGAGAGTGCCAGCCGGCAGCTTCATCCTGAGCTAGCGCTCTCTCTCTCTCTCTCTCTCTCTCTCTCTCTCTCTCTCTCTTTCATCTTTCTCTTGTCACCCAGGCTGGAGTGCAGGGGCACAGTCTCGGCTCACTCCAGTCTCTGCCTCTCTGGTTCAAGCGATTCTCCTGCTTCAGACTCCTGAGTAGCTGGGATTACAGATGTCCGCCACTATGCCTGGCTAATTTTTCTATTTTTTTTTAGTAGAGATGGGGTTTCACCATGTTGGCCAGACTGGTCTCAAACTCCTGACCTCGTGATCTGCCTTCCTTGGCTTCCCAGAGTGCTCAGATTACAGGCATGAGCCACTTTGTTCAGCCACTTTTTCGCTTATTACTCTGTCTTCC